CAACTACTTTTCTTTTGAAGGGCTATATTTTTTCTACTAAATAACACTGAGGGATCTCGTGCAACGTTTTGAAGTGATATTCTACCTCTAAAAGACTTTTCATCTACTTATTTTGTACCATCTAACAGGGCAAAGATGGATATACTCAGTTGGTGTTGTGCATGTGTGTGTGTGTGTGTGTGTGTGTGTGTGTGGTCGGGGACAAAGTATTACTATCTAATTAAAATTATAATATATATATATATAAATGTTATGATACGTTTTTTTTTTTTTTTTTCTATTTTTTAAAATATGTCTTAATATATATTAATACAACATGACTATCATGAGGACACTTTCACCGCTTCGATCCTTGAACGTGTTAGATTGAGAGGCCGATCTATATAGCCTTGTGGCTCAATGATTAAAATGCGCACACTTAGTGAGAGCATCCTCGTCAGAACTTTATCATATGCTTAATATAACCTAAATAATGAGGAACTTATAATTTAAAATAATTAGAATAAAACAACTTAAATAAATAAGATGAAGAAACTAATACGGAAAAGCAGAGAGAGAGAGAGAGAGAGAGAATAATATATATAAATACTTCAATGTAGTATTGAAATGTTGTACTAATGACTACAACTGAAATGGAATTACTTTTTCTTGTACTAGGATTTGGATTTTTGGAAGAATAAAAAGGTGTTTATGAACTTTGGAGAGGGGAGGAGGGAGGTTCTATGTAAGTTTTTTTTTCAAACCGACTATTAATAATTATAAAAAAAGAATATTATAAAAACGATTTTCGAAAAAAAAAAGGGGGGGGGAGAATTGCTCTGCCCCTGCCCATCTTCTTAAAAATTTCTTGTTCATCATAAAAATTAAAGGTGGTCATCGTAATTCGTACAAATAGGTAACTATTGATAGAAGATGGTAGACCTATATAATACTTAGAGAAGGCGATAGTACCAAGGGATATAATTTGATGGGAACTCACATAAATTATCTAATAAATGTATAGTGAGAAAAAAAAACTAGAGTTGATACTATATGTTGAGAAGAGTAATTTTTCTATAAACGTAGGATTGCACGAAAGATCAGTGCCGCATCCATATTTAATTACAATACTTTTAGATGAAATAATGTAGGGGCATGTTGTTTGCATATGATATGGCATTATTAAAAACTTGAAAGAAAGCCTTGGCAACAAAATTAGAAATACTGAGAAATTGGCTTCAAAATTCAAAATACTAAAACAAAACTATGAAATGTAAATTTAATACTGTATTAAGGTATAAAAATAAAAGTACAACAATTCAAGACCGAAAGGATTAGTCAGAAGGACGGAGACAAATAAGGCCGGGGGGCACGTATCCCCCATAGCTGGGCCCCATTTAATTTTTACTTTTATTCCTACATATTTGTAAAATTTTGCGAAATGCACCCCCCCCCCCCCTCTCTCTCTCTCTCTCTCTCTCTCTTAAATTTCTCTTTCTAAAAATCTCTTTATTTAATTTTCTTTTCTCTTTTACTCTTCTTCTTCTTCTTCTAATTCTTTTAGTTCCCTTCAACAAAATTTATATTCCTCTTCTTCAAATTCTTTTAATTCCCTTCAACAAAATTTATATTCCTCTTCTTCAATCAAATCCTATTTTTTTTCTCATTCAAAGTTCCCTCATTTTTATTTTTATTTTTATTATCTTCTTCTTCTCCTTCACGCTTTTCATGCTTAAGGTTGTTTCGAGAAGAGTCTGAATGTTATGCTCTCATTCCAAAGAGGGTGGGGTTGTTGGATGTTCGGGATTTTCGACCTATTAGTTTGGTGGGAAGCATATACAAGTTTATTGCCAAAGTCCTTGCTTTTAGATTGAGAAGAGGCTTGGATGGGGTCATTTCCGACTCTCAAAATGCTTTTGTTGGAGACCTTCAGATTTTGGATTCAGTCGTTATCCCTAACGAATGTCTTGATTCCAGATTGAGTAGTGGGGTTCCTGGTGTTCTTTGCAAATTGGACATTAAGAAGGTATACGATCACGTGAGTTGGAGCTTTCTTCTCTATTTGCTAGAGATGATGGGGTTTGGTGATAGATGGAGGAGATGGATTCAATTTTGCTTTTCCAGTGCTCGCTTCTCAGTTCTCGTGAACGGGTCTCTGACGGGATTCTTCCCTAGTTCGAGGGGTTTGAGGTAGGGGGATCCGCTCTCTCCTTTTTTGTTCCTTATTGTGATGGAGGCCCTTAGTAAATTGATGAGGAGGGCTGCTGACTTGGGTTTTCTGAGAGGCTATAGGGTGGGTAGGGATGCAGCTAGTGAGTTGGAGATCTCTCACTTGATGTTTACAGATGACACTATTGTGTTTTGAGATGCGAATGTGTCTCAGTTGAGATATTTGAGATGTGTTTTGATATGGTTCCAAATTGTCTCCGGTCTGAAAGTGAACGTGGGGAAGAGCGTTTTGGTGCCGGTTGGGGAGGTTCCTGAGATCGCGTCCTTAACAAATATTCTTAGGTGCAAAATTGGTTCTTTTCCCATCTCTTATTTGGGTTTACTCCTTCGGTCTCCTCGTGGAGTGTGGGGAGCTAGGATCCTGTAGTGGAAAGATTCAAGAGAAGGCTGGCGGGATGGAAAAAGCAGTATCTTTCTAAGAGTAGAAGGGTCACTCTAATAAAGAGCACCCTTTCAAGCCTCCCTACCTATTTTCTCTCTCTGTTCCGAATTCCCTCTTCTGTGGCTGAGAGGACTGAGATATTGCAGCGGAACTTTCTTTGGGGGGAATTGGGGGAGGAGTTCAAGTTTCATCTGGTTCACTAGGAGCAAGTTTGTAGTCTGATCCGAGTAAGAGGCTTCAGGCTTGGTAAAAAGAAGATTGGTGCATTTCAATAGGGCTCTCCTCGGGATGTGGCTTTGGAGGTTTGGGTTGGAGACGCATAGGCTATGGAGGAGGGTGGTTGCGAGTAGATTTGGGGAGGGGAGTGGAGAGTGGAGTTCCCTTGAGGTGCGTTTTCCTAGGGGTGTTGGGGCTTGGAAGTTTATTCCAAAGAGGTGGGACGATTTTCTAAACACATTATATTTCGGCTCAGGGATGGTAGGAGGATCCATTTCTGGGAGAACGTTTGGTGTGGTGATTGCTCTCTTGCTCTCTCTTTCCCTCGACTCTTCAGGATCGCCACATATAGGCAAGCCATGGTGGTCGACTGTTATCGGCATAATAGTGGGAGATCGTCTTGGGATGTTTGTTTCACCATGATTGGGAGATTGAGGACGCCATTGATTTTTTGGAGTTTTTGTATCTATAGGAAAATATGGGTGGAGTTTCTGATGGTTGGGTGTGGGTCACTACTTCTGAGGGTTGTTTTCATGTTCGTTCCTTCTATAGATGTCTCATGGAGAAGCCAAGGACTCCTTTCCCGTGGAAGGCTGTTTGGTGCTCTTAGGCCCCCCTCAAGGTGGACTTCTTTGCTTGGACTTCTGTTTTGGGGAAGATCTTGACCTAGGATAATTTGAAGAGAAGGAATCAGGTTGTGGACAATTGTTGTTGCATGTGCCTTCGAGATGAGGAGACAGTGGATCACATTCTTTTGCATTGCGTCATGTCCAGGGATTGTTGGGATTCGATGCTTGGTTTGTTTGGGGTTCAGTGGGTCATGCCCAGGTCCTCCACAGGGTTGATTAAGGCTTGGAGAGGTTGTGCAGTGGGGGCCCAAGTCCGGGATGTTTGGAGGGTTATGCCATTGTATATCTGGTGGTTTGGCTCGAGAGAAACAGGAGATCCTTTGAAGGAAAGGAGAATCCTAGTTCCATACTTAAGTTCTCTATTATTACCACTCTTTTTTGTTAGGTTGCAGGAAGAAATTATAGATCTTTTGAGATTGTAGATTTTTTGGACTCTATGAAAGTTTAGAGGCCCCATTTGGCCTTGTGTAGTTCTCTTGGGATGCGCTCCTCTTTTGGGCGCTTTTTATACAATTTTACTAATCAAAAAAATAAACAAAAATTTCTTATCTCTTTTTAAAATTTCTTCTTCTTGCACTCATGTATGATGTATGTGCTGTAACTTTTTTTGTTTTTCTCCTCTTCTTATTTAATTTTATTACAGCAATTTTATAATGTCCTTATTCTTTACTTTTGAGTTCTTTTTTTTTTTTTCAAAAATGATTTAATTTTTGAATCTTAATTTCACACTTCAATTTTCCGGTTTGCTGTCTTGCTGCACTATTATCTATCATGTTAATTGGGAAGAAAAAAATATTACTTTGTTATGCTCATTATGTCCCCCCGGAAATATATTCCTGGCTCAGTCCCTGATTACTCAAAATAACCATTTTGGATATCAGGATCAATAATACAAAAGAGGAGAGGAAGAGAGAGAGGGAGAGAGGCAATTAGTAAGATTGGAGCAGGTTCGACAAAATAGAGTTAGGCCTGCAGTGTTGGGAGTGAATAAAGATTCTAATAAAATAAACTAAAAGGCAAATCTTGTAGGGCTGTTATTAAGCCAACTAACTTACAGTCTTACATGGAGGAAAATGCTAGGCAAAAAAGGAGAAATAAGAACATCTTATACATGTAATTGAAATTAGAATGTTGAGATGGATGCTAAAAGGAACTAGTGTAATAACCATGTAACTGAAAAAGTTAGCAGTAACTTCAATTTATGATAAAATAAAGCAGTAAATCTAGGTGGCATGGACATATACAACATAAACTATAGATGTCCTAATAAGGAAAGTAATATTTCTTCATAGAAGATAAAAGACAAAGAGGCCAACCAAAATTAATTGGATGAAGTAGAAATGACTAAAAAAAATCAGATATAGTAGGAGATATAGCTTGTAATAAAAAAAGAAAAATAAAATTCATGCGCTCAACACCACTCATATGGAATAGAGGCAATCATGACGATGGACCGTAGTTCCTAAAAATAAGAGCCAACATATTCGGTTGAGGTATCACAAGAACAAAAACTACAAGTAAATCCTCGACAAATCCCCTCAAGGTAAAAGTGGTACAAGGTCTACCAGTTTATCAGCTGTTTTCCCCGTGTCCTTCCGTGAATGAACAAAAATCATAGCTTGGTGCCCTTGCCTTAATGAATCAACAACCTGTCAACAAAAAGTATTAATTATACCAACAAATGTTCATTTCAGGAATTTTAGCATGAATCATGATATAGAATCCAAGAGTACCTTATTATAGCATATTTCATTCAATAGCTCATTACGAGCATGGAAGTTCGGCTCGCTAATTCCAATATACTGCTGTGCAAGAGGCACTGGACGATAGCTAGAATCAAAGAAGAAGAGACCTTTATCTGGACTGACCCTCAGAAATTGTGCAACCTAGATTACAAAGGAGAAAACCAACAAGTAGTAGTCAAGACCAAAAGGATGCAAGGAATACGGAAGGCAGAAATAATGAATTTAATATCCCATAGATCAAAAGTATGCTCATGAACTTCCAAATGGCAGGGCAGAGTAACAGGATGCACCAACCTCCAAATAGTTGGGAAGAGTGGCTGAAAGTCCCACAATGCGTATCATAGACTGTGTGGACTCCACCTGTCAAAAACATCACAAGTGCTGAAACACTAATAGATTTTTAAGTGAACAAGTAAACCTAATTCGTAAAAACACTAAATTTAGACCAATTCTCATTGTATGACATATAAATCTAAAAGTTGTAGTACATAAACGTTTTCAAATGCAACTCATCAGATTCAAATCCTTTAAAAAAAAAAAAAAAAAAAAAAAAAAAAGCCCAAGAAACAAAAATTGGACTACGGCCACCGCAGAGCAAAATCTCGGATTTGTTCTCACGAGTCAAGGGCATTTACTACTATGCACTCAATGAATCTTGATAAATTATTATACAGAAGTATGCTGAAGACCAAATGATTAGTCATCAATAGAGAATGAAGGAAAAGAATCAACACATCTTATGGTGTGCAAGGTTGAGAAAATTTTACAAACGCGATAACCAATTCAAATATTTTAAACCTGATACGGCCCAGTGTCCGTTACACATGTTCCCGTGTTTGAACCATGTCGAATAAAATTGAATTCGCACATCAGCTGAAGAGATAACATTACCGTACATTTCACCAAAATTTCTTTAATGAAACAAGAGAGAGAGAGAGAGATCCAGAATATCATCGAAACAATTTGTCTTGTATTATGTTCCAATTGTGAATCAAAGCAGATGGATTGCAGGATTCGAACCTGATTCCAAGTCTTCTTCGAATTTAATTGCAAGCTTCCCTTCTTCATATTTAAATATAGGAAAATTCCAAACTGTTGTTCACTACAAGTAGACTTTATAAGGGCAGCTCTAAATTTCAATAACTAAAAACAGCTTCCTCTTAGGTGACGGCTAAATTTGAAAAGACTTTGTTGCCAAAAATATGCAGTCTTGAAATCCTAAGCTTTTCTTGTAAACACCCTGATTTGGATAAGCAGAACAAAAGTGAATTTAAACCACGTGCAACAATTTCTCTTATACAATACAATTTCTCAGTTCTTCACCACTAATCACAAACCTTTGGCCATCTCCAACAAAACCATCTCCAAAGTAGCACAATGAAAGCTGATGGCCTTGGGAGCAAACCCCCAAAATAGAGAACGGTATGAAGAATGGATACTGGATAAAGAGATGGCTAGAAATTCCGTAGCATCGACTAATGTCACATGAATGTCTCAGCTCATGGTTGTAAAGGCCTTCAACTTTGAAACATCCAACTGGTATTGACCCAGTTGCGGACTACTAACCAAATTGAAAATTTTCGGGCAGGGTCGGTGTGCGGGCACCCGAACTTAACAATGTCCGAGTGTCGGCCAGTGTCACTGTCATGTGTCGAACACAAGTACTTCACGAATTTTTGAGTCGTCGATGTAACATAGATTGAGACTAAACAATCTAAACAAGTGTTGAAATGATTCTTTGGAAACAAGGTCATCCCACCCAAAATCGTCCAAAAAAATGGAAGTATAAGGCCATGTTCAATAATGTATCTAACTGAGGGAGAAGTCAACATTTCAGAGGAAAATTACTTTCCAAGTGTAATAGCCATATAAAATAATAGCATTTAATTTTAAATTAAAGATTTTAATTAACTTACTATATAAGAAATCTTATTAAATTGAAAATCCTAATTCAACTAGAACTCCACTTATAACTTAATGTACAACATATTTTCTATAGTAAACTAAATTGGTTTGATATAACACGATAAAAACACACGTGAAGACATGGTTTAGAAAGAGTGGAAGCAAAGGTACAAATGAAGAGATTTTAGATACAACCATGTGAATTTGAAAGCGTGCCGGTCAAGTAAAATCTTTACTCACTTCTACTAAATAATTTTGGGAATGAAGATTAAAATTTTCATATGGAACCTCACGAGATGACTGCAGATATTTATATCTATTTTACATATAAATTTGTATACATGTTCTAGGTGATACCCGTGCACATCCCAAGTATTTTAAATATTTTACTCCATGTTACGTCTATGTAATCTGTTTAGAATATATAAACAGGTGAAGTTTCGAACAGAGTAGAACTTATATAATTTATAAACATGTAAAGTTTAGAGCAGAGTAGAATTCTGTAACATGCAAAGAAGACGAAATCTGAGACCATTGAGATTCAATATTTTATATATAAGCATGTATAGATTTATAATTATTTACATATAAAATATAGCAGCAATCAGGTTTGGGGGTAAATTTGAATGAATTAGTTGAGTGTATATGTATTCATATATATAGATGCACTAGTATGTACATACGCATATGAAGAGTACCATAAATTCAGAATATATGTGCGCGCGAATAGACTGCAATAGTTTGAATTAGTACACTTAATCCTCAAGGAAGGAAACTGAAAAGATTAGAAGCCATGGGCAACCCATAGTTTTTTGGCATAAAGTTTGTCCAATCTACGTGTCAATTTTACATGATTTTTGAATTTCAGATACGTTTTATAAGGAAGAATTAGAGGTTTAGGTAAATTTCAAAGATGGATAAGTGGGTGAAATTGGGGCCCATTTTTTTTTTTGTTCAATGGATAAATTGGGGCATGATTTTGAGTTGGAAAGAATACAAAACTGGATTTAGTCATGATCAAAACAACAACTTTGGCTCAAAATTTTAAGCAAGACATTAAGATTTTGGATGTAATTTTGGTATATGGAGTGCACCGTGTTTAGTAGATTGAGCATGTGAAATTTTATCTTTTTCCGAAATTTTTTGATAATCGAAGTCCAAGCCGAAAGATGTAGGAAAATTTCAGAAAATTCATTATTGCAGGAACAGTGTAGTAACGTGGGGGAAGAGGAGGTCGGCTGTGAACACCCAGGTTACCCAACCCATATTGGAGTGCTTTGACCTGTTCTATCTGGATTTGACCTTTAATTTTAAAAAATGTAACTAAATTAAACTTAAAGTAAAAATAAGAGAGAATAAAGAATAAAAGAATAAATTAAGGAAAACTAATGGAAATTTAAACTTCATTGCTGATAAATAATAGAAACAAAATAAAGTGGAAACTTGTTCTAATAAAATATGTAATTGTATCACTGTGCATTTAAGTTAGAAGAATGAGAAATCTAAATCACTCACCGAAACTTTGTATTAAATTAGTTATCAGGGGCAGAGAACCGAAAAGTTTTCTATTTATAATTTTATATGGCCCACAAGGACTTAAAGGTTCAAATCCCAAACATAGCCACCTCAAAAAAAATCACAATCTATTAGTCTCATTGAGCCTTTAGTTCATTTAAACTCAATAGTTTTAGTTTCCTAAGCCCAATAACAATTGTAAATCATATATGCAGTTGTATATACTATATAATATACCAACTTACTTTTCTTGTTTTTAAAACTAAAGCTACAGGTTTCAAATTATTCTTTGTTTGTGATGTCAAAGCTTCTCAGAAGTCTCAAACGTCAAATCTCGGAAGAACAAAATAAGAAATTACTTTTCTTTATTTTTGTTAGTTAATATTGGCATTTTTATTTATTTTTTCTTGCAAATCTATGACATACTTGACTAGATAGACACAAATCTTTTTTTGGAAACAAATATAAAAAATGTTTGGTCAGATATATTTTTGTATACATCTAATAAATAATAGGCTAATTTTTGCTTATTGTGAATAATTTCATGGAATAATGGCATTATTAGTTGGTGATATGGTTTTATTTAATGTTATTGTGGATGGTTTGTGATGTTTGATTAAAATTGTTAAATTTTGGATGTGGAAATAAGCAATACAACTAGGAAAAGGGAAGAGAGAAAGATGGAGAACACAGGCATATACATGGTTCGGCACTAAGGCCTACATCCATGGACAAAGTGCCACTAATGGCTACATTTCTATCATTCAGATATATTTTGCTTGAGTACAAAGAGCCTATGTATAGGCACGGTAAAGATAAGAAAATATGGAAGGTGTACAATAGTCAAAGGAGGCACCAGAATTGGTGGAGGATTTTGCTCCACCATTATAAAGAAATATTTATAATTGGAAGGAAATTGACCGGATCACCATTATTGATGGAGGATTTTGCTCCACAATTATATAGAACTATTTATATATTTCAACACTCCCCCTCAAGTTGGAGCATGAATATCATGAATGCCCAACTTGCTAAAGAATCGCCTTAAAAGATGATGAGAAGTTGTCCGGAACAAAGCCAAGAAATTGACCAGATCTTGCCGGGGAAAATAAACTGGAACTCGCCGGGGAAAATGGCCAGAACTAAGCCGGGAAAAGGCCGGAACTAAGCCGGGAAATGGCCGGAAGAACGCCGGGAAATGGGCCGGAACAACATCGGGGAATGCCGAGGTGCTGAACCATCCGAAAAACGGACCGGAAGGGAAAGGAATGTGAAGACATAGAGAATATGCTCTATGATAATAATACCAATACTCCCCCTAAATTCTAGATGAGATTACAAGAACATCTAAATTCTAGATGAGATTACAATAACATCTAGGCTCTGATACCATGTTAAATTTTGGATGCGGAAATACGAAATGCAAATAGGAAAAGGGAAGAGAGAAAGATGGAGAACATAGGCATATACATGGTTCGGCACTAAGGCCTACATCCATGGACAAAGTGACACTAATGGCTACATTTCTATTATTCAGATATATTTTGCTTGAGTACAAAAAGCCTATATATAGGCACGGTAAAGATAAGAAAATATGGAAGGTGTACAATAGTCAAAGGAGGCACCATGATTGGTGGACGATTTTGCTCCACCATTATATAGAAATATTTATAATTGGAAGGAAATTTACCGGATCAGCATGCTTGATGAAGGATTTTGCTCCACAATTATATAGAAATATTTATATATTTCAACAAAAATCATGCACTGAATTTAAGTGTTGGACTAGATATTCCTGTATTAAATTTGGGGGCATGACACCAAGGGAAAAGGCAAGTCTCTCTAAAAACCCTTCCTCCCGTACTAAAGCAGTTCAAGAGCATCAGCGTGGAAGTTCACTGGTGAGGAGTGAGGACAAAATCTATTTGTTTAAAAAAGGAAAACTATAAATCAATTAAGTAATTGTAGTACAACATCAGAAAGAAAAGCCTCCTCTTCCAGCTCGGAGCGACTTCAAGTTTCCGTTTCCAAGAATTAGAGAACAAAAAGAAAAGATAGAAAAAGAAAAGAGGTCCAAAGTGCACACGTGCTTGTTCGGTAGGCGTCGGTCGCCCATCTTCGGAGTTCATTCATTACTACCTGCTGGTACACATTTCATTCTTTCAGTTGAAGCCCAGAAACGGGGTGACAGTATTGATGAAGAGGATTTTGCATGGGGGCCTTTGACATCCCAGCAATTCCTGCATGTATCTAAAATGTCCCTTTCTAGCCATTTTATTGGCTCTAGACATTAAATTATGATCTGGGTTATAAAACAACTTTTGCTCAATGTTAATGTCCCAAATTTTCTCGTGACTACTTTCACAAAACAAAGAAAGGGGATTCTGGGGAATTACAAAACAAAGGATTCCACCACTTCAGCTCTTTCTTTTCTTTTATGCTCTGGAGACAGTCGACCATTTCCTCCAGGATTGCATCCTTAGTGACATATACAGAAAGGTGCAAGATCTCACTACATAAAGTGGTAAGTGCCAAGTCCAAGGCCAAGCCTAATACGAATCCAGAACTTTCACTCTTTGGTTGACCACTGGCCTACCAACTCCCTACATATAAGCACTAGTACAACATGTCACTTCCAAGGAAAGATCAAATTAAACTCTCACATGCCTCACTACAATTCAGGCAGAACATGCCACTTTCAAAGAATGTGTGATGCCTAAAGGAAAAAACAAATAAAAGTCTAGCCAAAGTACGAATCTACTCAGCCTAAGTAGGACTCTACTCAAACCTTACTACATGAGACATCCCCCTACTAAAAAGGGAAAGAAAGGAAAAGAAAATATTGTGTTTTTAAATTTAAAATTGAAATTTCAATATTTATCAAAATGAATAGATAAAAAGTCTAACCTAAGTAGAACTCTACTGGAACTTTAATACACAGGACCCCCCTCCACTGAATTAGGTTTTCCTCATATGTAAAAATAAAAAATAAAAAAAACAAACACAGGCACACACTGAAGGAAAAAGAAGCAGAGAAGACATACCTAAGCAAATCTGAAATCGAGAAAATAGAAAGTAGCATTCCTATTTTATTTCTTTATATTTTTGTGTCTAAGACAACTCAATCTCAATTTGTAGCATGCTAGTCTCACATATAAATATCTACAAAAGTGAATTCATAGTTTTTATGAGATATCAAGAAATATAATCTCACTGAATGACCTGACCCTTCTTACTAGGAATCAATATTTGCCAGAAAGGTGGAATTTGTTAGTTTTTATGAGATATCAAGAATTATAACTATTTGCCTATTCAAATATAGGTATATACTATCGGTTCACATAAGTTTCCAATGGAAACTGTATATTTAATGTATATGGGATGTATGTTTGTGAATGAATATCTATTCACCCATCAATATGTGTGTGTGTGTACAATGCATACTGCGAACCAACATATATGTAGGTTAGCATATGTATTATAAAGATAGATTTGGATGATGGAAAAAAAAGGAAAAAAAAAAAAAAAAAACACAGTTATAAGATGAGAAAAACCAAGATAATTCCATAGCTGATCTATCGACTTAGAGGCCATATTTTGGTCAAGATACAGCTCGTCTAAACATAATTTATATACCGTTAGAATCGTCTTATTTTGTAGATAATTCCCTAAAATTTTGTATCATTTTGAGGTCGATTGATAGAAGAAACTGAAGATTAAAGTTGAATCGGAGAAGATGAAAGTTGATCTATACATCTGTTTACTTATGTTGAGCAACGGGTTATGTATCTAGTTCCCACACCAAATTGGGTATTGGATAAGATGTTCTTATATTCAAACTTGAGGGCGTTACAGAATGACCTCACATAACATCTTAAATCTTGGTGATGTTAATAAGGGTTTGACTATAATGTTATACACTAGTGGTTTACCCATTGCATTCCCTTCTCTCAGTGGCTCAAAACTGCATGTGCAAAAGAAACAACCTAGAAGTAAAGGAAAAATTAGAAAGTATTACATGAAAAGGTTTGGATAGAAAAACAGAACCATACAAACATATCAATACACTATCAAAGATACATCAAAAAATAAAGAACAAAATAAGTAGAGCTCAACCACAAAGTTAAGTCATATATACCAAAATCCCTGTGCTGATTGAAAAAAGACATTGGTGGACATTCAATACTGAGAATTAGAAGAATGACAAAACATGGGACACCGAACCTGAATGGATATGGGTCACCATACCTATAATAAATACTACTAAGAGAAGATTATACCTAGCAGAAATTTTACCTGACGAAGGGTCCGAGCAACTAATGCCTCTATTACAGGGCCTCTATCATCGTTCAACAGATGTACCTCATCAATGATTAGGAGCTTCACCAGCATTGAGAGTGCCATGTCACTGCTTTTACGAGTAATGACATCCCATTTCTCAGGTGTTGTCACTATCATCTGATTAAATTTTAAAAAATAAATAAGGGTTTAGCACTAGTTCTAATTTGCATGTTGCCCAAGCAAAACAAAGCACATTTCATATGTCTAGCAAACAACCTGAGTTTCCTCGAGTTCATTCCTAGAAAGTTGCATGTCTCCAGTAAGTTCTTTCACAGTCATATTCAATGGAGATAAACGATGGCTAAATGTTGATGTAACCTCTGCAGCTAATGCCTAGAGAAGACATGACCAGATATTAACAATCAGCCAAAAGATTAACACCAAATTATAACAAAGATAGGTTCTACCTTCATAGGAGCAACATAAACTATCTTAAATTCATCTTTATGCAAGTAACCATCCTTGAAGTGCTGTCCAATCTGCCATAAAGCATTTCTCTTCATCAACCAAATAAATACTAAATTTTAAAGGAAAATTCAAATTTGAGCTCAAAATATATATATATATATTATGTCTGCATTGGTGTATGGTCAATTTTACCAAATAATGTTGAATGCAAGGTCATCACTTTCTAATAATATCAGATATACCTTCTTTTTTTTTGTAAGTAAGAATGTATTAGAAAGCAAGCGTTCAAAAGGGGAACGCATCCCAAAAACAACCAGAAGCCGAAGCCATATCTTACGGACCCAAAGAGCCCAAAAATTCTACAAATTCATCAATTGAAGTACAATTTCTCCCCCTCACCCAACTAAAGAGAGAGCTAATTATATGAAGTTTCAAAGAAATCTACATTTGACCAATTTGATAAAAATATGTGCAATTAATTGTAAAGTACATAAGAGGTAACTGCAAAATCTACATAGCCATGAATTCATGAAACCATAAGCTTCTATTAATATAAATAAATGATAAATATTTTTTTTTATAAGTATAAATAAATGATAAATACTATTCAATACCACCATCCTATGGCACTACTGTGGATAGTTCTCTTGAATATCAAAAAGACAAACCAATTAATGATTAAAAGCCTTGCCATTATTTGTCCCCAAAAATTCTCAACTGTAATCAATAATCATATCTGAATTTTCTCGTCATTATTTGTCCCCAAAAATTCTCAAGTGTAATCAATAATCATATCTGAATTTTCTCCCATCAAAATTTAAAATTATTCAAGGTGGGTGCATTCCTAAGTTTCACCATGAAATAAATTTCCCCCTTAGTTTTAAAAAAAATAACACAGCTTCAGAATTGGAAAAGAGAGAGAGAGTTCCTTTATTCGCGGTTCTTGAGGGATCGTTACTAAATACAATGGTAAAAACTAGGACTAACAAGTGTGAGGATGGGGTCAAGTCTACCAGCGTCTCCTTTGTGAAAAATAATGTCAAAGGTCAGATCTATCTCCAGCCTTCCCCTCCAAGCACTTTGCCAAAGTGGGGACATCCACTAGGTAATGTCCTTTTTTGCAATCAGTTCTTTTACTTTCATGAACAAAACTCACATTTGATGAAGGAAGTAATACTCTCCACCTTTTGGCTTTTGCATAAATTTCTAAATCTCTTTTAAAATATTTTCTTAGTATTCTAACCAACTCTTAATGCATTAGGAAATTTGAGTTTGTTTTTAAGAAAAGTAATTAACTATCGTATCTCCCTCTTTTTTTTCCCTGAGCATGTATTCTTTATTTAACAAATAGTCATTTTAATCTTCTATAGTTTTCAAATTTTCATTTAAATAACCAACACAAATTTCAAATTGTTAAGGTATTAAGTCATGTGTTGGCAAATTTCCACATAGAACTAGGGTCGTAAGATTGAAAAAACAAAAAATAATTCATGAGTAATTTATCTACAACCAAGGAAAATGATGAAGATCAAGAACACGACAAAGAATTCGTCAACCTCAATCACATATTTAATAAGCAGTAACTACCAAAAAAGGGAAAAAAAGAGCACAATCACATATTAAGGTTAAGGAAAATATCTGGCTTAAGATAATTTAGGATGGAATGATTTATTAGATACGTGGACCTCACCTAGGTTTGATCTTTAAAAGGCTCAAAATTAATGTTTGAATATGTTTTTAAAATTCAAGGAAATTGAATTTTATATTCAAGAAAACATTCATCAAATCTGGGTAATTCACAAACTTAAAATGTTAATTGAATCTCTTCACATAAACACCAAGCCTCTGGTGTTAGAACTTCTTATGCTATCTCTTCATCATAAGCTTCATCATAATACTGTATTCTTGTATCTTTAGAAAAGCATTGAATTCTCTCAGTTTCCATGCTAATGGTTATTATTTTCATCTTAGTATACATTATGCTTATCTTGATTACTTCAAAAAAAAAAGTAAGAGTTTCATTAAATATTGCTTATTATTATGTGTATACTGTATAGAATTTCTTTTCTTTTCTTTCTCTTTTTCTATATATATATTTTTTTCAAGGGATGTCTTATGTTTTGTTACCATCTGCAAATTTCAGCTGCAACACTAATTCAATGAAAAAGAATCAAAACTGATCTCAAAGTGTGTAAGTTGGTCCTTTTTCACTTTTTTTTTCCCCCTTTTTCTTTTCAATACAAGATCTGTGGACAAAATATCTGTCATTATTAGTCATCTATATTGATTCCCAAAGTTTCATGGCTTTTGACACTATTTTGGTTAAATTTTCAATGTAGATTTTCCTTCTTGATATTTTAAAATATTAATTTTTTTCAACTTTCTATGCTGTTAAAACAAAATGTATCTTAACGCTAATTTCAAAATTATTTATCATGTTCATTGCATTAGTCAAAGGGCTAGTTATTGAACATAAAATAGCGCAAGCCAACAATCACATTGAAACTGTATGCAGTAATTTCAACCATTTCTGGGGCATAACATTACTTCCATATCTAACTAGACGACAGAGCAGAATGCCTGAGGGCCTAGTATGGCTACGACAACAAGTAGTTACAGTGTTCTAGTGTCAACAAAAATGTTTAAGGCACTCTTAGGTCTGCACTCTTAGGTCTGTCTCTAGTATAGCTGTGTCCAGGTGCTCTGTTATGTGTGCAAAAGTCTTGTGCTCAAACCAATAGTGTATGACATGTTATGATCCAAGTTACTTAAAACAATAAAAAAGACCAAACCGGAAATCAGAGAACACAGAAATAGCCACTGATTCCACACCTCATGTAGGACAGCAATCAGAGCTATATTTGTTTTGCCAGCTCCTGTCGGAGCACAAACCTGCAAGCACATGAAAATCACTTGAAAAATACTAAAGCACCACATTTCACTGGATGATTTAACATAAGCAAGACTACAGATTTTTTTTTTTTTTATAGATACATAAGCAAGAAAACAGATTAATTACTCACTAGTATGTTTTCATTACTGTAATAAGTGGTACGGAATATTCTGCTCTGAATACGGTTGAGAGACTTGTAGCCATGGAAAGCAGCTTGAGCAAAGTCATCTAACTCCTTTATCTCAATCTGACAACAATTGGTAATTAATAAATTTGTAGTAAAAGATACATGAAATTTAAAAAATAGTACTGAAAATACTAATAGAGCAAAAAAATTGAAACATAACCAATACAATATATGCATAAGAGTAACCTCTAAATAAAATCCTAGCCCATATGAAAAGAACCCTGTTTGGTTGGATTTTTCTAACACCTTGCTTTTGAGAGCAAAATTTGAAGCAATAGTCACTATCAAAAGCAAAATAAGAACCTTTGAAGCATTTCCGGAAGGATGCGACATCGCAGTGATGCAAAGCTCTTTATGTTAAATTCCAAATTCCAACCCCCATAAAAAAAGTTCAATGGAGAAACTTTGGCATGCCAAATGCTGTAAAATCCTTATGCACCCCTTAAAATGTATTTTTTAAAATGATAGAAATAATGAGTTCATAAAGAAATCATTTTGATGGTGAAGCTTCCAGAAGCTCAACAAATTGGATCACAGGTAGCTTTATAGTGCTCTGTAAATATATGATATCTTAGATCTTGCACAAAAAACAATAAAAATAATAATAATAATAATAACTCCTCAGAAACGCTAAGTCGGCCCTTTTTGATAATTATCATCTTTTTACTGGTGAGGACAATAACTTATTTTCCACATACATCTCCATCAATTTATCTCCAGGCTACTCTTGGATAGGTTGTATTTTATTTTATTTTATTTATCCTAAGTAAATTTTTATTAGCAAAACCAAAACAATACAAGGCTAAAAGGGGTACATCCCCTCTCAGATCGAAGATTAAAAAGTCCCACTTCCAAATACTAGCAAATAGAAAAAGCAAAAACCAAGATACACCATTCCTATAAGAAAAGAGTCAAGAACGAAGAAATTCTGCCAACCAGAAGGAAGATCACCAATTGTGAGCAGACTTATACCGAGATACAAAATACCCAAATGAAGAAGCAGACAGAATCTTAGCTCAAAGAAGAATTCATACTTTGGTTCCCATGTACAGAATCCCATAACAACCACCACCAACAACATAACTGATTAATCCAGCAGTTATACACATTAGTTGTCACATCAACTAGATGAGAGATTATAAATATCAGCAAACTCAAAGCCACTTGAGTTGAAAGTAAGGGTTCAACATTTTTTTTTTTTTTTTTTTTATAACTAAAATTATATAAAAGAAACCGCTCAGAGGGGGAGCGAAACCCAAATACAAAACAAGGCCAAAAGCGCCTTAAGCCTTCAAAGAGGCCAAAAAAACCAACTCCTCTACAGAACGAAAATCTCTCCCTGAAACACAACAAAAAAGAGTGGAAATAATAGAGAACTTAAGCATAGAGATAGGCTTTTCCCTTCCATCGAAATATCTTCTATTTCTCTCAAGCCAAATGCACCACCAAATGCACAGAGGCGTAGCCCTCCAAGCGTCTCGGATGAGAGCCCCCACTGAAAATCCTTTCCAAGCCTCAATCAACCCTCTAGAGGATCCAGGCATGACCCAAGGGATCCCAAACAACCCAATCATCAAATCCCAACAGTCCCTAGCCATGCTGCAATGAAGAAGAAGGTGATCAACGGTTTCCTCATCTCGCAAGCACATAAAACATCTATTTATCACCACCTGATTCCTCCTCCTCAAGTTATCTTGAGTTAAAATCCTACCCAAGACAGAAGTCCAAGCAAAGAAAGCCACCTTAAGTGGAGCCTTGGATCGCCAAATAGACTTCCAAGGGAAAAAACCTCCAACACCAACCGTAAGACATCTGAAAAAGGATCTCACCTCAAAGCGACCCCAAGGGTTAGGAATCCAAAGCCAACAATCAGGATCCCCAACTGTAAGACGGTACAACAACTCCAAAAACCGAGTGACCTCCTCAATCTCCCAATCCTGGAAGTGCCTCCTAAACTGAACATCCCAAGTCAATCTCCCGTTATCAAGATGATAACAGTCAACCACCATGGTCTACCTATGAGAAGCAATCCTGTAAAGACGTGGGAAAGCGAGAGCAAGAGGAAGCTCCCCACACCAAAGATCCTCCCAAAATCTGATCCTCCTACCATCCCCGATGCGAAAACAAACATGCTTGCAAAAATCATCCTACCCCTTCCGAATGGCAGTCCAAACCCCCACACCCGTAGGACCACGCACCACAAGAGAACTCCACCCTCCACTACTCTCCCCAAATTTTTGCGCTATAACCGTCCTCCAGAGCCAACGCCTCTCCACCCCAAACCTCCACAGCCATTTCCCAAGGAGAGCCTTATTGAAAGGCAACAACCTCCTAATCCCTAAACCACCCTTCCGAATTGGACAGCACACTTACATGAACCTTCATAACTATTCTACTTCATAAAATATCACATCTTCTGCCAAATAAAAGGTCACCACTATGCTTTTCTCACAAGTCACAACCTTGATCCTTATTTGAATGGCCCTCCCCTTTAATTCTAATGCCTCCAAGTCAAACTAAGTTACTCCTTATCACAACTATCATTAAGACATTACTGAAACCCAACTTTACCCCTCGTCTCCTTTTGAAACCAACTTTTCTCTGTTAGAATGTATATGAACGTATTTTTCTGTTTCTTATAAGGGCATGTTGGCCATTTTGTTGTAATAAAAATTTATATATATATATATCAGTGAGAGTGGGTCGTGGTTCTCTCTCAAGGATTTAAATTCCCTAAACACTGTTCTCTTTATCTTTGAATCACAATCTGAACAGTCTCCATCAACGTAATCTTTTCTTACTACTCCATTAATTTCTCCTTTAACCATTTTGTTTTGATTTTACATATTCCTAATCTACAACAAAGAACAATCAATCTTGTGATTAGTATAGGTATTGCTGATAGATGCATTACATGTAGGAAGGCTATGGAATCAGTCAATCACTTACTTCCTCATTGTCAAGTGTTTGGAATTACTGCTTTCATTTTCTCCTTCTACGAGGTTTGGTAGGCGTTGTTTTCAAATGGAAACCAATTCACTTGCAGAATAATTAAAATTTCTGGCTGTAAAAAGGGAAATCAGAAGAGTGTAGAGTGGAATTCTGCATGATACTTTTCGGGGTATTTGGAAGAACAGACGTAGAAGAGTTTCAAGATGTATATTGCACAAGAAAAATATATAAAAAATAATAATAATTAAATTAAAACAAGGAAAAATATAAAATTAATTATTCTCAAAGAACTCCATTTGGAAAAATTGGAGGGCTTAGAAATGGGGCTTGCTTTTCTTAGGATAGACTTAATAACGATGTTGCTGTTCAGCATTTGTGCATACCTCATAAGCACATGGGCTTCACCTGCTTTCTCTATTTTAATAAAATTAAATTCATAAAATAACCTAATCAACTGTGGTATTCCAATGCGTTCCAAAAAATCCAAATGCATCTTTGATTGCCAAGAAAATAAAATAGGCAATCAGAAAAGAAACATAAGTTTTTTTTCCCTCTCCTTACTCATTAGTTTAAGGCAAATATAAGTTTTTATACAACATTCTTTTTGTACATAAAGATGACGAAAAGTGGAATTGCATAACATGGCCCCAGATAATTAATACTAAGAGTCTGCAGAATAAGAATTTGAAGATGCACGAATGATGCATCAATTATTAGAATTGGACAGATGATGCATCATGATAGATAAACATATTGGCAAAATAGAATGGAGTACCAGTTTTTCCCCAGGTTTCATTGGTGCAGTCGGTGTTGGGGGAATTATCACTTCTTCATATCCCTTGTAATTCTTCCGAACAGTTCCTTGTGGAAGGGCAGTAGCTGCATGCCCTTCACCACACCCAATCAAATCATCAAAAGGGCTTTTCCTCTCACTCGCTTGAAGTAAAGAATTAAAACTAGTGGCAGATAAGTCATTCTCAACCCCATTATCTGTTCCACGTCTATGCCGTTTTTCCTCCTTGCGACGAAGTTTATCAATTTGCCGTTCAGACTCCATTTGAACAGTTACCTATTTATAAATACATATAAAAAAAATTAAATAAAAAAAATAAAAAAAGAGCCATTGACATCAAATTTAGTCTGGTAGAGATTACCAAGTGAGAGAACAACAATCTCAAGTTATACCTGAGTACCATAACTGGGCATCCGTGTTTGAGTGCTACTGGGCATTTTGTCGCCTTTCAGCATTAGCAACCCATGGTGTATAGCATCAACAAGTTCCTTTCTGTGCTGTAAAGAGAGAATATTTCTAAAAACAATCAGAATAGGTTCCGCTGGCAACACATAGTAATATTTGGAAAAGGGAAGAGGAGAACCATCTATAAATAATTTCTATCAAGCAGTTCAAACTATATAGTTGCCCTCCATTCACAAAACAAACAACATGCTGCCACCAATTAGGATCAAATGACCTGTCATAAGTCAATTTTCCTGGCAAGAAAATCAATATTATCCTTATAGTTAATATTGTCAACCTAATTAAGGTTCGACATCCCAGCTGTGAGGAAAGTAGAAGCATGGGAAAAATAATAGGAAGTTAAATAACCTTAAATATTGCCACAACAGTGAAATATGATTTATTAAGAAACAAAGCACCTGCCAAAAGATAAATACATGTAAGTAAAAGAATTATAAATGTTCTTACCGATATTAGCTCTTGAACAGTTCCAAATGCGCCATCCCCAGCAAGATCCAACAAATCACCAGCTATCTTCACAATAGAAGTATTCTCTAAGAACTTAGGTACCATAAAATTGGAATCACAATGCTCAAAAGCAACCAGGGCATTCAGGAAAAAAACAAAACAAAACAAAACAAAAGCTACCAGGGTAGAGGGGAAGGGCGGCTGACAGGATTCATGTCTTTCCCAATGCAATGGAAATCTCTTTGTTATACAAGCATTGAGGTGTTAGGATAGAACAAGTAATGGCCTTTTCTTATTGTTGACCCCACCTAACATCTTTCATAACTTCAGGTATGCAACAGTAATGATAGAGTTACAAACTTGGGATTGTGTAGTTCATGTAGTGGTGATACTGATGTGACATAGAGCTTATTAATATCCAATCAAAAGCCCAACATCTCTTTAGATATTCTTTAGTAATTGATCTTTCCACCTTATCTTCAACATACATGTTTTACTCATTAAAAATCAGGAGTTACAGAATTAAACGCCTGTTATGGCTAGTTTTAATCTACCACTCACATCATCCCAACCATGCCAGTTTTAAATTTGCATTTAGTGGTAATACTTCCAACAGACACTACAAGGAAGAAAAAAACACACACACACAATGACTATAGGAAAATTTTGACGATTAATCGAACTTGCTTGAAACATGGTGCATGAATAAATTTTAAAAGGAAAATGTTCAACGGCATACTATGAATTGATCCTTCTGTTAGTAAACCAAATAATTGGAGCCAATGAGTTGAGAAAAAATTTCACAGAAACTCGCAAAATAGTTAAAATTGAAAAAATAACTGCAAGGTTCACAGTAGGATTGGTGGGGAAATTAATTTAAATCACATAAGAAAATTATTGATGGTCCGTAGTCCTGCTTAGTCCTCCATCCTGTCAAACACCCTCTCCACACCCCCCCACACACACAACCAACCAACAAAAGATTAAAAAAAAAAATTCCTAGCAACGGCCCTGAAATTTCGACTGATGATATTAGTTGAGTAGACATTTTAAACGTTACCTCGTCACCGGGTTTGTCTGAATCAAGAACCCGGCAAATGGCCATTGCTAGTTCATCTTGTGAAAGCTGTGAAGCACTTTCTTTCACTATTTTATCACATGCACCTCTCAACCACACCAAATCAAAGTGTAACCCATCAACAGCAAAATGGTAATCTGTGGAGTTACCATGATCATACCATCCCTCGTGATGTGAAGAAGAAGAAGGCGCAATGCTTTCATCCCCCAGTAATTCTCCATCCTCCAAAGAAACATCAACCAGAAACCGAGTTGGGGGGCGGAAAACAAGATCAGCACCAAATTCTAAATCATCACCACCCTCATTTAATTGCCTTTCTGGAACAAACATGGCCCTATGCTCATCTGGCTGTAAGCCCGAAAGCCTCTGTGCAAGAGAGGCAATTTTTCGTAAATTTGCATCTGAAACAACATGGCCAAGTAATTTCTGTAATTCCAACCTGCATTTCCATATTCTAATTTCAGTTGTAGTTTTTAAATATAAGACTATAAGTTACTACCATCCAACACTACGTCCACCCACAATTTATTATCCAGCTAAGTGACATTCATGCTCCTAGTCACTGTCCATTAAGTAACTCATATACAGTATTTCAATTCCAATACTATTTAATGTGCTTCATTGCTGCTGCTTTTTTTTCTCTTTTTTATCCAAAAAAGAAAATAACATACCATTTAAAACATCATTACCACAAGTTCTTGCAATAATACCAACCAGCATTCCGCGTGGACTAGTGCACGGACTTTAATCATAACATCTCACTAAAAACTATAATATTGCTTCACATCCTAGTTACAAGTTAATACCAACTAGTTAACATCCATATCCCACCGCTCTTGTATTGTAACTTGTTAATGGCATTTGTGCTCCAATGATCCGTTTTACTACTTTAAAAAATCTTTGCCCGGTAGTGTTGCAAAATTAATATGCATTCACAACAATTAATTTCCTTCAAAAAAATATTATATAGAAGTTCTACAGACCAACTTGCACCTAAGACCCACTAAATAGCCCTCTACAGTGAAAGTAAGTGTTGTGATCGAATAACGGGAAACAAAAATTTACTTCTTCTCGATGATCCTCCTGTCGTCTCCGTCCTCCTGCGCAGGTCCACCAAAAAGCCCATAAACAATCAATGCCACCTCCCGAAACTCCTCAGATGCTACTTCTCCATCGATCAACTCAACGACGGAGCCTATGAACTGTTTGTATGCTTGCCGCACTTCAAATGAAGCTTTACCAAAAACAAGTACACGTAAACACGAATTTTAATTCATAATAAGTAAAATATATATATCTATAGATATAACACAAATTTTAATTCATAATAAGTAAAATATATATATGTATGTATGTATATAACTATAGAATGTGGAATTACCTTCTTCCCATCTGTGAACAATCTTTCGTGCAAGTTCTGATTCATCAACCGAGTTTGCAGAACTAAATAACGCAAAATTCGAGTGAATTACAATGAATTTGAAGGACAGTGACGATTGGGTTTCGGAGACAGTGATTACCTGCGAGACTTGTGATGTTGGAGGATGGTTTTGCGTTGGAGATATGCCTGATCGACGTCGAATGGGTCTCTGAGAGAGTTCGTGAAACGAGGAAGTTGAAGCAACATGGTTTGCTTGTGGCTCTGAAACCCTAGAAATTCGCTTCCGGAGAGAGGAGAATTGGCGGCAAGAAGAGGAGGAAAAGCGGTGATATAGGAGATGGCTTCTCTGATGATCTTTTCTTTACAGTAATATGTACGAGTATTCCTGGTTTTTCTCTTTTGGGTTTACAAGGTCTTTAACAAATACAGTGACTAATTACACTGCCAATTAGGTTGTAAATAAACCAATCTTTCGATTGTTCGGGCTTCCGGCTCAGCTACTCAAGCTTGTTAAAAACTCTGTTCGTATTTATTTGTTTAATAGTAAATAAATTTAATTTAATTAAAAAAATTAAACTCAATTAATAAATAAGTTACTCAAATAACCCCAACTCAACTCTTGGCCCAGGTATAGGAATTGGGCTGGCCCATGTTCACTAGCCTACATAACCACAACGACTACAACTATTGGATTGGCCCATGTTCGAGTTAATCTTAGACTCGTTTAAGCGAAACTTGTTTATCATTAATGAAACAAGACTTGGATCCTGGTACGGGCTTGGCTTGTTTATCAAGCAAATTGGGAGCCTGAATGAGTTAAGAAAGTTTTTTTTTTTGTTTTTAAGTGTAAATTACTAGATTGAGCTTTTATGAATGGTTTGGATTCATTTGTAAAGTTTAATAATGAAAAGAGTCCTGCTATTTAGCCCCATAAATAAAAAACCTACTACTTTATCGAGTCCATGTAATTATGTGTCAAATATAATGAATCCATATTCAAAAATAAAGTAATTAACTATTTATAAAGTTGCACTTCTTTTTTTAGGTTTCATCTTAATTATCTGTTAGTAATTAAAGTTTCAATATCAAATTGTGTATCTATTATATATATATATATACACACACACACACATCACATTGCATCTCTATAACAAGACTTTAGATAAAATATTGTGTCTTTGATCATTAATTTACATCAATTACTTTAATAGCATTTATTAATTGCTATAATGATCTATACGACTCCCAGAAACAAAAATAAAAAATAAGGAGGGGAATTTAAATAAATAAAAAAAAAGAAAAAAAAAATCGAAGTATTGAAAAATTGTAAGAAAACATTGTAATTTTTGTTGTAAATTTTGTACAAATCAAATTCTTATATATGAGTACGATGAAACTTGATGTGAAAAAAATAATAATAAAAATAATAAATAAATCTGATAACCACGTCATATTTTATCTCTGTCGGTTTTAAATTGAGGTATTAAAGTCGTCAATAATATAATTTTCCTAATGAAAAATCTCCTCAAATGAGTAAATCTAAAATAAATTTCTTTTTTTCTTGCATATATGCAGTCACCCATATTCTTTTCTTTTTTTTTTCTTAGTTGATATTTATACATACATAGCTCGAACTCATAATCTCTTCTTGAAATGTACGTTTGGCCGCTATCACATTGGTATTTGCCTATTGATCTGGACATCAAAAAATGAAGGAAAAAAAATATTAAAAATTTTTTTGAAATGGAAGGAGTATTTGAATAAGAATAATTTTAAGTTCGAAGGTTTTTTTCCTCACATATATGCTGTTACCCATATGACAAATGTAATAATCACTGAAAACACAATGTTTTTATTATTTGTAATTAGTACCAGGAATTAATTTTGCTATTACTTGTATTCACCAATAATCTTCCTACAATATATATGATTTCCCCGTGTGGAAAGAAAATCATATATACAACTTTTCAAGACATGTTCCATCATGGCATCAAATACATAGAAAATTCTGGATTGATTTAGCCAAAATTCTGGATTGATTTAGCCAAGTTCATCAAATGTCAAACCCACTTTTTGTATGATTGATATAAACAGCCACTTATTAATGGAATTCTTTCCAGGCCTCTCTATTCCGAACACATCTTAAGCTAAATTCGTGACGAATAATCAACTCACAATAAATAAGGAAGGTATAGTCTGGATAGTTCGAGCCTAAAGTAAGTTAAGCAGTCGCCTAAGACCCCAACCAATAAAAATGTTCCAAAATATTATAATTACCTTGTATATAATATTGTAATTGTTTCCAAATTAAACACTAATTCTAAAGAATTTATCTCTTAAAATAACTCTTCTTTTTTTTGTTTTCTCTCTTTTTTTTGTTTTCTCGCTCCTTGTCCATTCACTCCTTTTCATTCAAAAGAGAAATTTTTTGTCGCCTTTTCTTTCAAGAGAGAAATTTTTTGTTTCCTAAAATATCTCATTTTTTTATATATATTTATCTCCTAAAATATCTCACTTTTTTTCACAATTTCTCTCTCCTCCTCATTCAGTTGTTTAGTAATCCAAACCCTAATCATTACACACACTTAATATGGGCTCAAATATTTATATTCTTAAACGCTTTTTCTTTTTTTTTTTTTGTCTATCTTAAACACTTTTTTTTTATACACGTTATTTTATTTATTTATTTTTCTTTTCTTATTCATTCTCTCATCTCTCAACAAACTCAATAAATTACAAGTCATCTCCCTTTTTAGTCTCTCTCATTATAACTTTACAATTTTCTTTCTTCTCGACTCAATTTTCATTAGTCTCAAATTTCAATTTGAACGCACTTTTCTTTTATTAAAGAATTTGCAGCAGCATTGAATTGGAGATTTCTAAATCAGGTTATATTATTTTCTTTCTTTAATTATTTTTTAGTTTTACTAACTTTTGTTATTATAAATTTGTATATATCTATATTTTTCATATTGTATATTTGCTTTCGAGTTGTGAGTCTTGTGACTATTTTTACCCATATTTTTTTAAAACAACAAAGATGATTTTTAATTAATTATTATTTAATAATTAATATATTGCATGATATGAAAAGGTCTTTTTTTTTCCGCCTAAGGCCCCGAATTACATGGAACCGTCCCTGGGTATAGTAACATTATAAATGACCTAGTATCGAATACTAATAATAATATTAGCAAAAAAAAACCGTTCTCTTGTACTTCCAAACAGTCTTTATTAGAAGGGAAGCGATAACTGCATTTCATCTTTATTCATTTAAAGAAAATACAATCATTATTTCTAACATGGAATCGGGTCTCTGTGTGAAATTAATTTTGTAATTGACAAATTTCGGCGTCAAAACGTGTCCGATCAAGTTATAATTTTTGTTTTACTTTGAGTCTCGTTGTCAAGTGCGGAACAACAAGTGCAACCAAAATGCTTTCAACTTTGATTCATACAAGAACATCATGTTAAAGAAGGTATGTTGGTGAGGACACTTACTTTTCATCTTTAGTGAGTTTTAGGGTTATTATGCACTTAAAAAGTTTTTCAAAAATTTTCTTGCACCAGAAACTGGTGGCGCTTCACCCAACCGGCTGCGGTTTTCGTTTTTCAAAATTCGTTTTTGAAAGATTTGAAACTGCCTTAATGGAACCGTTCGTGCTTCACGAAACCGGTTGCGGTGGTTGATTCTTGAAATTTAGTTTTGATAAATTACACATTAACCAAGCGAAACTGGTTGCGTAATATCAAAACTGGTTGCGTTACCCTAGAACCAATATGGAAATTGTAATTTTATTTCAATCAAGATTCCTTTTTTTTCAAAATTTTAGGGGATTGTGTTTGCACGAATTTGACTTCATTTGCAACTATTTTTAAGTCTCTCTAAAATCTATATAAACATTTTTTTCTCTCTAAGTTTTAATGACTTTTGAAACTTAATTTTCAATAGTTTTGAGAGAGCCTTTGAGAAATATTTTTATTCAAAAAATCAAATATGATTTTTCTGATTTTATATTTGAAAGCACACACATAAATACAATAGTAATTAAGGGTGATCTTCTTTATCTGGTCGAAATTGAAGCATATTGAAAATTCAAATATTCTAAGAAGTATGATTTTATTTGCCATCGCATAATTCAGAATTTGGAGCAAATGAGGGAGTGATCACACTTTGAAGGGGTCAAAGTATTCATGCAACGTTGTTAATCTACCAACAATCATTCTATAGGGATCAAGGGAGTAAGCCTGAAGTCAAGTGCTTTTAGACGGGGGAATCGTAAAGCCGAATATGTTCAACAATTGGTTCTTAGTAGAGCGGAGTGAGTGTGAGCTGTAGTCAGACTCCATTGTAGTTTGCTTCAACTATAGTGGATTGTTTTGCTCGAGACACCAGAATCTCCGAGGTTTTTCCTAGATGATTAGATCAGGGTTTCCTCGCTAAAAACAAATTGTCATCTCTCAAACTCTACGTTACTTATTTTATTTTACTGTTTATATTTTTGTGGTTGTGGATATTTAATTGATCATCATTGTGGGTAAATTAATCAATTATGAGAATTGAGCAAGTTGACTTATTCACCCCCTCTGGTTCATTAGAGTAGTAATTTACAACTTAATCAACTAACACCTTCCACACCGTGCTACTCCTATCCTATTTTCTCTCTGTTTATTAGTGTTTTTGCTTTGAAAGTGAAGTGTAAATATAGTTGGGAGTGACAAATTACCTTGCTGACTGTAATGGATTTAAGGTGATTTAGAAACAAATACAGTGGAGATGGGATGAGGGGATAAAAACCGCATGAGTGCAACGATACTTGTTTACACAATTTGGGGCCCTTGGGGTCTGCGGGTGTGCTAGAGTCATTTTTCTCTGGGACTCGAGATGCATGTGCTCAACATATTCCATTGTTTCGGCTGTAGCCATGAAAAGCGGCCCAAATAGAGTGAGATATCATTCATGCAATTGTGAAAAGGCAAAGGATATCCCTCTTACCGAATTTCTCATGCTTCATTGGCCTTGCCAATTACTAAAATTCTCATGTAGTGGTTGGTGGTCAAACAAATATGGAGATGGTGGTGATGGAGGATTAGGTGTATATGAATATTCTGGCCATACATTTGGTTGATTATATGTAGGTGAAGGTTGTTGTGGGGTGTAGGGTTGTCCATACTAATATCTCGAAAAATACCCGTATGTAAACAAGCTTTATTGAATCATTATATTTGGATTAAAATGGGTATTATTGGAGTAGAAAAAAAATTGCACTAGAAAAGTAAAGGTGCAATTCCATTAAGCCTAAAGTTATGAAATAGAAATGAACGCAAGGCACGATTATGTAAATGGAAATCAAAAATGCAATTTCATATATACAATATAAAGTTACAAGAAAGGTGCATGAAATCCATGGGCTTA